TCCTGTTCCCAGAGCCTTGATGGACAAAGGGCACAGCTCACTTTCATAAAACTTTTAGGAGGCTTCATCCAAATGGGGTACCCAGTTTCGAAATTGCTCTAGATTTCATGTTGGCTAGTTGCATGAGCTTGCTTGGGCTTCCATACAAAATACCACAGACTGGGTGGCTTAACCAACAGAAATTAATTTTTTCACAGCTCTGGAATCTGGAAGACCAACATCAAGGTGCTGGCATGATTGGTTTCCCGTGAGGCTCTTGCCTTGGGTGGCTGATAGCCAACTTCTCATTTCCTCTTCATAAGATCATCCTCCATGCACACTAACCCTGATGTCTCTTCATATTTTATAATCTTTTGTCATATAAACAACCACCAGATTGCATTAGGGCCCAGGCTTATTTTTACCTAACCATCTCTTTAAAAGACTTTTCTCCAAACACAGTCACCTTTGCAGGTACTGGGGGTTAAGATTGCAACTGGAATTAGTTTTGGAGGGGACACAATTCAGCCCATAGTACTAGTCAGGGTGATGTCTGTGTCATTAGCAACATTCAGATTATAACTAAGTTCCTCCACTCGGACATCTGCCAGGAACCTCAGACTCAGTAGGTCACAAAATTGACTCAAACACCCTTGTCATTCTTAAATCTAATTTTTAAAAACACATTGAAAAGATACAGCAGCCGGCTTTTGGTGGCTTGCTACATATAAAGTAGAAAGGCTTAGTCCCAAAATATAACAAAGAATATTAATCCACATAACTTTGCATTTTCTGCACATTTAAAGACAGAATTTATTCATGTGTTACTTGAGTAAAAAGGTAAAACTTGAAGTACTACATAAAATGTACTTATGGAAAAGCCCTGCTAGTCTTCACCAAACTGGCTGCAGTTATTGCAAGAAAGGGAAATAACTGGGTAAAGAAGGTGGTGATGTTTTGCTTTCTGCTGTGTATTGATACATCTGTGACAATTATATAATTTCAAAATTTATTAACACTAACTTGTGTAAAATTTCAGGTGAGAACATAAAGGTTAAAAAAAGGTAAACTTGAAACGAGTTGATCAAAAAATAATATGAATGATATTTAATGGCTGAAAAGAATTTCTCCCTATTGGATGTATTATAATTTAACAAATCCCCTCATGCTGCCTGTAGTTTTTACCATTATAAACAATACAGACTTAACATCAACTATTTTCATAAGATATATTCCCAGAAATGGTAATGAATCCATTTAAGTTTTTTCATAGTACTAGAAAAATTTTAAGACACTATTTTGGCATATGTGGTTAATAAGAGAAAAGCAGGTAGACTTCTCTGAATTTGTCTGACATTCTCCCTTGTTTGCACAATGATGAATATGCATGAATGGCCTTTACAGCATTATGTGTAACAGCAAAACACATGAAACCTAAATGCCCATTGATAGGGGAATATGGTTAAATTACATTCTATCCATACAGTGGACCACCATGTAGCCTTTCAAAAATGTAAAGTGGAGTTCCATATGTACTAAGACCTCAACGATACACTGTTACATGAAAAAAACAATGTGAGATGACATATCTAATACACCATACATTTAAAAAAAAGACCAGGGGAGGTTGGGGCAGTGTGTTTGTGAAGCAGTGACAGGCTTGTGTATGGATTAAATTATTTTAAGAGGGAGAAACAAATAGGTGGTTACAGTAGTTTGATAAGGAAAGAGGAATGAGAGGAAGATGGTATTCATGGGAGGTCCTGAAATCAATTCCTTGTGAATAACAAGGGACACCTTGACATTTACAGGGATTATATTATGTGTGAATTCTCTGATGCATCTTCAGGTGTGAGTATTGACACAAGGTTTTTCCCACACATTAACATTTATTGGTTCTTCCCTTTGTGTGATTTCTTTCATGTATAGTTACGGCTAATTTTTGATATATATTTTCTCAAAGTCATTGCATTCATATGATTTCTCACCTCTGTGAATTCTGATGTTCAGTGAGGTATGACTTACAGTGGGAAAGTTTATTACATGATTTACACCCATATGGTTTCTCATTTGCATGAGTTCTGATGCCTGCTGACATGTAACTTTCAGTTAAAAGTTTTTCCACATTCTTTACACTCATAGCATTTCTGACCTGTGTGAGTTCTGTGATGTAGTGAGGACTGACTTCTGGTAAAAAGTTTGTGCACATTCATTACACTGAGGGTTTCTCAACAGTGTAAATTCTCTCACGTACTTAAAAACTGATTTCTGTTAAAAGGTTTTCCTCATTCTTTACATACATTTGGTTTCTCACCTGTGTGAATTCTCTGATGCCTGTTGAGGCATGACTTTTCACTGAAGGCTTTTCCACATTCTTTACATGCATATGGTTTCTCACCTGTGTGAATTCTCTGATGCCTGTTGAGGTATGACTTTTCACTGAAGGCTTTTCCACATTCTTTACATGCATATGGTTTCTCACCTGTGTGGATACTCTGATGTCTGTTGAGATGTGACATTTTTGTAAAGGCTTTCCCACATTCTTTACATTGATATAGTTTTTCACTAGTGTCAGTGCTCTGATGGCTGCTAAGGTGTGACTTCTGGTAAAAGGTTTTTTTATACTCATTAAACTCATAGGGTTTCTCACCTGTGTGAATAATCTGACATCCACTTAATTTTGATTTATTATAGAAACTTATAGCATATTCTTTACATTCATATGGTTTCTCACCAGTGTGACATCTCTGATGCAGAGTCAGAGCAGCTTTATGGTTGAAGCTTTTCCTACATTGTTGATATTCATACGATTTCTCACCTATATGAATTCTCTGGTGTGCATTAAGTTGTGACTTGTTGTAGAAAGCTTTCCTACATTCTTTACATTCATAGGGTTTCTCACCTGTATGAATTCTCTGGTGTGCACTAAGGTGTGATTTTCTGTAGAACGCTTTACTGCATTCATTACATTCATATGATTTCTCACCTGTGTGAATTCTCTGATGTTCATTCAGATGTGATTTACTGTAGAAATTTTTTCCACATTCCTTACATTGATAGGGCTTCACACCTGTATGAATTCTCTGGTGTACACTGAGGTGTGATTTACTGTAGAATCTCTTCCCACATTCTTTACATTCATATGGCTTCTCACCTGTGTGAATTCTCTGATGCCTATTGAGGTATGATTTTTCACTATAAGCTTTTCCACATTCACTACATTCATATGGTTTCTCACCTGTGTGTTTTCTCTCATGGATGGTGAGGAGTGACTTTTGCTGAAAGGATTTTCCACATTCATTACACTCATAGGGTCTTTCACCTCTGTGAATTCTCTGATGCATAGCAAGAGATGACTTGTAAAAGAAAGATTTCCTACATTCATTACATTCATATGGTTTCTCACCTGTGTGAATTCTCTGATGCTTTATGAGGGCTGACATCTGCCGAAATGTTTTTCCACATTCACCCCATTCACAGGGGTTTTTCCCTGTGTGAGGACTCTGATGCACCCAGAAGTTTGAGTTTAGGTGAAAGGTTTGTCCACATTTATTATATTCACATGGATTCTCACCTCCTTGAATACTTTGATGTACACTGACGTGTGATCTGCTGTACAATGTTTCCCTAGATTCTTTACATTCATATGGTTTCTCACCTGTA